TGACTCTAGAGTGCATATTTTGTGTCCATGAAAAAACTTTTACAGAAAATATTACAATATTAAAGAACTGTTCTTGTTAATTTGATGAAAACATTTTAAATTTCCAGTGCACTCACATCAGAATAACTTTTAGATTTGTTGTTAGAATAATCGATTAATCGAAGAAATAATCGTTAGATTAATCGATTAGAAAATAACCATTTGGTACAGCACTATTTGAATTCTGGCATTTTACACATAGTCCTTCAAGATGCGCCAATACAAAAGTCAGAAACTTCACATGAGATTTGGGCCATCTTGTGGGGGAAAAGCAGATTACTTCCTACTCGCGAGCGCCGCCTCTGGTGAGGAAACGTTTTTTCAGGGATACAAACTTTTTCAGAACACCGGTAGACGGCAGCCATTACAGACGAACATGTGTTTGTTGTTTGAGGAGCGGCCCGGTCACACGCTAATGTCATTAGTTCGTTATCATTACTAAGGTGCAGGACTACTTTTCCCCCTTTTTTTTTCACATCATGTCACCTGCCTGGATCTGTTATTATCTCGCTCTGAAGGACAGAGTGTCAGAGGTAAGCTTGTTTCAACAACTTTTTACAACGCGTTCTCATTTCCGGACTCAATAATTTTGTGAATGAAGCCGAAATTTCAGTTAAAATACATAAGTAAAAATATTTATCCGAGTATACTACTACCCCCCAACTTTATGGCTGATTTTATGATTTAATTTTACGTATTATACTTGAATAAATACGGTAAGTAATATTACAGAAATATCTTATTCATTTACTTTTGTCATTGTGTGGTTCTGAGTGTAGAAGAATGAGGGCAAAATGAAACAATTGTGTCATTAAGCTGCAACATAAGACAAATAATAAACTAGTTCTAATCTACCTCATTAAACAGGAGGAAGGTACATCCAGGAACTTAGATGTAAGAAGCAGGAAAATATTTTTAGTGTGTGTGTTTGTGTGTGTTTGCTCTGCAGAAGCTTTAAACACGATGTGAGCGGGAACCCTCGGGCGTTACTGAAACTGATGAACAGTGCAGACATGGTGAAGCACTCTCTGTCCTCTCTGGGATCGGCCAACTGCTTCGTCGACTCTCTGCACGAGGGCGTTGACTTTGAATGCACCGTCTCCAGGTGAGCTGTGGACCTTTATTTACTGTTGTGTTTCATCACCTGAGACTGTTGCCTTTAAGGCAGTCAGAAGCCATTTATGTGAAATAAAGTTTACAATCAAACAGAGCTGTGAAGAATCTCATTCTGCACACAAATCCAAAATCTCTGCTTTTATTCTGACTGATTCAGATTTTTGTTGCCCAGCTCTGATGAAAAAAAAAAAAAACCTTTGCATTTCTGAGAAAAGGAAAAATCCCTTTTGACCTTTTGAGTTGTTATTTTTTTCTCCACAGAGCTCGCTTTGAGCTGCTCTGCTCCTCGCTCTTCAACAAAAGCATCCAGCCAATCAGGTCGCTGCTCAGTGAGGCCGGCTTGTCTGCCAGTGACATAAACAAGGTGTGTTGGATGATTCACTTCAGTTTATTTATATTTGTTACGTTAAAGCGATGTCACCCAGAGGAAGCGAGGCTGCACAGTTGATTCTGAGAAACTCAGGTCCAACCTCAGCCTCTGAGTGTAGAAGCAGGATATGAAGAGTCATCCAGGGTTTGATGGTTTTATTATACTCCAGGCCAGTGGTGGGCACCAGTCCGCTAAAGCGCAAATCCGCTAATTGCGGACCTAAACATTTTGTTTGCGCTTTATCGGTCTTACTAATTTTCATAATTCATAAGCAGATTTGGGTTTAAAATTTAAATTGCAGTTCCACTAATAACTAATTATCTACTGGTCACCATTATCTTGAACAGCAGAGGGTATGGCTGTCCGGACTCACAAAACACATGATCTGTCCAACAGCTCCCCTCCCAGCTAAACACTATTATTGGGAAGGTATACGTCCTTCCTGACTGTCGCTTTGGGTCACGGTTCAGTCGGTTCTCATTTTAGTAGGTCAGCTTTGCAAAGTGTTTTTGCTGGCAGCGTTCTAAATTACTCATATGGCTTCTGTTAAATTATAATAAACAGTTCAAAAGACAATATTCAGTAGCCAGCAGGGATCCACGTTTTACAGACATTTCCCACAATGCTTTGTGTCTGCTTACGTAGCAGGAAGGCAATGTTTGGAAATCCCTTTCCCAGCAAAAACAGTAAACGTTTGTAATCCATACGAAAATTTTGTATGTATTATTTTACTTTACAATGGGAGTTCCCTTTTTAAAAAAAAAAGTTTAATCGCTGGAACTCAATAGTTGACGTGATTGGTCGAAGCAACGGGGTTATAGACTTATGCTGACGTAGACTGACATCTAGTGGTCAACTGGTGCCGCTTCAACTACATGGAAAACGTCCTGATGCATCTCAGTTAACAAAAAGAAAAAATAAGTAGGTCCTCTGGACGGGTTCTTCTTTAGTGAAACTTTTCGTCTCTCCTCCAAGAGACTTCTTCAGTCTGAGTTTCAGGTGAATTGGAAAACTTTAAAATCCAATGGAAACATGGAAAACTAAAATCCAAGCTCTTGTTTTGAAGGGAAGATACTAGTTTCCTGTTCTCTGTGCTTTCGTTTCCCATCACAAATGTACCCAGAATGCATCGCTTCAGTTTTCCAATAAACAGGTTTAAAATTACTTTATTGATGCTTCTTTAATGAAAAATCTACAACAAACAACAGAAAAAGATAAAGATGCAGCCGAACTAGCAATCCTCAACAACTTTTTAATTTTTACACCATGAGCCAAAGTTTTTTTTTTTTTTTTTTGAGGAAATCAGATCCCCGCAAGCAGTGGTTGTAAAACGACGGGTACAAGGGTTTAGGGCTGCAACTAACGATTATTTTAATAATCGATTAATCTGTCGATTTTTTTTTTCGATTAATCGGCCAAATCATTAAAATACTTATGAGTAGTATAAATATGAGTAGATATAAATTTATTTAATTCCTGTATAAATT